TCTGCTCTTGATATCCCACTTTCTCTAGTCACTTTAAATCACTTATATGTGCATGTACAGACATGTGCACGCACACGAAAATTAAACCTTACAAGGTTTTCATTTACTGTTTTGGTATTTGTGTATAATTCAGGAGTTCGCAATGTATTTATTATTGAAGAAATGAAGCATTAAGAAGACTAAACAAGCTGAAAAGCTACAGCTAATGACATTATCTTTTTAAATTTTATTTCTTTTCTTTTTTTTTCTTTTTTTTTCTTTTTTTTTTTTGAAAAACCTCTGCAAAATTTCAGCTTGTAGTACTTTTAACATAGCTGTACAGCTAAATTAAAAGCCATTAGGGAGAATACTTGCCCACAGTTTGTATCAGCTAAGGGAAATTTCTGAAGTGTAATCTGCTTTTCTTGTGCTCTATCAGTGTACTTAGCTGGGAAATGCATCAAATTTTAAAAGATGAGTTAATTTTTTCTCTATGAATATGTATCAGTAAATGTCTTTGTGCTCTCAGTCCATTTGCCTCCAGCTTGGTGCACCTTATGCTGCATCTACACTGTATAATTAATGCAGGTTTGACATGACGTCAATTGCCGTGGCTCAGTGCTATGGGATTCTGGGATTTGTAGTTTTGTGAGATAACCAGCCTTCCCTGTCAGAGAGCTCTGATGCCGCAACAAACTACAAGTTCCAGGTTTCCATAGGATGTAACCATGACCATTAAAGCAGTGTTAAACTGCATTAATTCAGCAATGTGGCAGCAGCCTCGGACTCTGAAACTCATGGAGTGAGTTTGAGTTGGCAGTCGCTATCTCTCAGCCATAAATCTGCCTCGGAGGATTGTTGCATCAAGTGATAAGTGCTCTTTTCATTTTCGTTTTTCAATCAATCTTTTCTTCACTAGCAGAAAACTCTACTGTGTTCTGTAGGCCAACTGACTCATATTCCTTGGTTCCCTCTAGGCTTCCCACTTCTGCTTGTATCTCCTCTCAAGCTCTGGCTTACTGCCTACGCACTCCCCGAGGCTCCTGTCTAATGTTATTTTCATGTTTTTCTTATGTCTGTGATTTCAAAAAACTTTCCCATTGTTCAGCTCTGTTTGTTTGTGCTTAAACTTTTAGGGATGTTGTGAGAACAGCTGTCTTTCTGTAAGCTCTCCAAATAGAAGTGGTGATATTTAGTAAAGACCCAAAAAGACATAAATGGGTAATCAACTGGACATATTTATTCAATTGAACCAATATTTCTCCCAATATTATGATGAGCATTTTTCTTGACTGGGGCCCAAATCAACAGTCTGATTGATATCTTCCAAATCCTTTAAATTCCCCCCCAGGGATCACATGTTTTTACCATCTGATATTTTTATGTCAGTAATTGTTAGCCTATGTGATGTTGCGTAAAGCCAGTAAGAGAATAGATAGCTATGCATTTTGTTACTGTGACTCACCAAAAAGAATGGAGAATTTATTCTGCTTCCTTTAGAAAATATTTCACAACAACAAATTAGCCATAAAGAGTATAACTATTCCAACATAAATACACATTTAGCTAGGCAGGATTCAGAGTTTTTTAAATAATAGCCAGCATTTATACAGGTGATGATGTGAACTATTAATTAGGACAAGTGGTACTAAAATAACATGATCCTGACAACTGTACTGCTTAATACATTTGGTTATGTAAATACTAATAAAATCATCTATAAATTCATTCATAAAAATATTAGATTTTATTCCAAAATACAGTGTCTTTCTGGATTTACTTCCACTGCAATTATACTTTAGCAGTGACTCAGCCATTAAAAATATTTGTTAGATATAAATCAGATAGGCGACAAAATGTTGCAATGTGAAATGTTCCTCCTATTCTGTGTTTCAGCCAGTCATGTCATTTTCTAAGATATTCCATTCCCTTTCCTACTCTTCATCTTCTTGCTTTTCTTTTAGACAATTAGTATTGTGACTACTCAGCATGCTCTGCTCTTGCCCTGTCTTTGTTTCTAACCTGCAGGCTTAATTTTTCCTTGTAATTTTTTTCCTTGTAAATACATAAATTTTAATATTTTAGATTATTGCAAACCTACAGCACCCTACTGGGAGAAAAGTGGGTTATAAATCAAATAAATAAATCAAATAAATGATACTATCGCAAGATCAGCAGCTTGGCATTTCAAGGCCCGGGTGCTGTGATGGGGTGAGCTCCCATCACGAGTCCCAGCTTCTGCCAGCCTAGCAGTTTGAAAGCATGCAAATGCAAGAGATAAATAGGTACCACTTTGGTGGGAAAGTAAACAGCGTTCTGTGAAATCATGCTAGCCACGTGATCACAGAGTAGTTTCTGACAATTCTGGCTCTTCAGCTTAGGGGGGATGCAGATGGGCGGCCATGGGCCGCCCTGGAAAGCGGAGGATTGGGGCCAAGGCTGCCCCATGCCTCAGCCCCAATCCTCCCTTCTGCCAGCCCTGAAAGGAGCGCTAAAATGCCGACAGAAGGGACGCATCAAGAGCTGCCACATGGCTCTTTTGCACCTCTTCTAGCACAGCACATTAAGACGCTGTGCCGTGAAGATGTCATCGGCGTGGGGTTGGGGTGCCCTGCGAGTTGCTGTTCCTCCCCTTCCCTGCCTCCAAGACAGTGCAAAGCACCATCTGTAGAGGCCCTAAGTATGGGTCTTTGCAGACTGCCAGAAATAGTGCAAATTGAGTCCACTTTAACTGCCCTGACTCAGTGCCAGGGAATCATGGGAACTGTAGTTTATTGTGGCACCAGAGCTCTCTGACAGAGAAGGCTCAGTATCTCAGAAAAAACTACAATTCCCATGATTCCATAGCACTGAGCCAGGACAGTTAAAGTGGACTCAATTTGCACTATTTCTGGCAGTCTGCAAAGGCCTGAGTGAAAAGGGTTGTAACGTAAACATTCATAGACTTGCATCTGAGGAAGTAGACCACGTGTATGGAAGTTTATGCTGGTCCCAAATATGCTGCAAGATCCCTTTGTGTACCTAAATTACTATTACATTAGTAAAAAAATAATAAGAAGTCAAGTGAGAATCCTCCATTTGTTGCTGGACTGCAACTCCTAGCATTCTTCTCACTAGTGATACTAGCTTGGGCTGATGGATCTGGAGCCCTGCAAAGATCTTCATTTTGATTTAAATTTATCAGTGTTCATATGGAATTGGTATTTCAGACAAATTCAGACATTGAAATAGAACATCACAGGTGCTCAAATTTGTACAGGATAAGCAGAGGCATGCTGAGCTGTAAAGTGGCACAGTTGAGATGATAAGTATAGTCTGACTTACGAGGAATAACGCTGTAGACCTTTAGACATTCTTTATCTTTTCCTTCTGTGTGAGATGCTTTTGTCCTGTTGATTTTAAACTAGAAATAAATGTAACATTGAGAGAGGTTAAAGATATTCCATCTTTCTGTTAAACAATATTGAAGCAAGGTCTTTTAATTGTTTTTTTTCCCTAACTTTGATGTTTTTCTCATTACTTTAAAACCCCTTTCATCAAACAAATTTCTCTACCTCTTCAATATTTTAATATCCTGCTAGCTTAATTAGGATTAGGAATCATTAACCTACATAACTATCCTATCTGCAATATGTTTGTTTCTTTCAATATTTTCATTTCTGCTAACATTGCACATTCTCAGGTATTCATGTGCTGGCTTAATCCATTCTTACCATTTGATTCAGTTTTTCTCATAGGGGACCTTCCCAACTATCCCTTTTGCTCATTCCTCATTCCAAAGAGATATCTTCTTGTTTTCCTATTCTTGCATTGTTCTCCCATGCAAAACCATGTATGAAGCTGTCAGAGTCTGATTCTGAAGAAGAAACAATACCACCAGATTTGTATAGACTTTAAAAATGTTCACCAAGTCAGTCAGTAAATCCCGTAAGCATCTCTTTGTTAGTCCGTGTGCTTTCATTAATATTCTTGACACATCTTCAGCTGAGAAAATGTAATCTGACTTTTTATAGTAACACATGGAAATGGAGAGACTTTGTGAATGTGAATTTTTTAAAAAAGAAGAGGAAGAAGAAGCATAGAATCCTTTCATAATTGGCTCAGTTAAGCTACTAATGAATTGACATCCTCTCCAAGGACAATATTATGATTGACAGGCCCCCACTGCTGTCCTGCTTTCTTTATTAAGGCTCCCAGATGGTGCTCCAGACTTTCTTTCTGAAGGCTGTTTCATGCTTTACAGCACAAGATGGGTCCTTGTGAATCCACTGGGGATCAAATGCTTCCTGTCAATAATATCTTAATGGTACCAATGTCTTATCTGAAAGCATCCAGTCCTAGTAGACAATCACTGATTCCAAGGGCATGTTTATTGTGTGTTTTAATGTAACACGAAAATGGCCTTCGAACACCATTAGACACCTAGCAAAGCAGCTGCAGCAGAAATATAAGGAGCCTGTCTTTTTTGTAAAATGCAAAATAGCCTTCAAACAGCCTTGTGGAAAGAACAGAAAATCTGTCATTTTCTATATCAAATGAGCACGTATTTTTAAAAAATATTTTAACCGATCAGTGATGTAGATAATGTGTCTCAGTCTATGTAACATCATTTACAGTCACTTTGGTTTCTACATATTAATTCACCCTTTATTCTTTTGCCTGGAACATCATTTACAGTCCCTTTGGTTTCTACATATTAATTCACCCTTTATTCTTTTGCCTGGATTTTGTCCATGGTGAATTCTTGCAGGTAGGTTCTCTTGCTCTTTACATGACTCTGGCATGGGCCAGAAAGTATTATATAAATTAAACTGTAAGCAAAAACCAAAAACACTTAAGCAGTCTTGTAGTTATTTGTCCATGGGTGTTCTAGTGATTCACAGTGATTAAACCCAAGTTATTCCTGTAGGGATGGGTATGGAATTTGATCTTAGCTCATTCTGATGCAGATTGACTTCATCCTGGCTTGCCATATTATTCCATGGGCAAGGTTTTAACTAGAAACTAAGCATCCTGGGAGAGGCGGCGTGGCATAGTGCTTGAGCGTTGGACCATGATTCTGGAGGCCAGGGTTCAAATCCATGCTCAGCCATGTAAACCCACTGGATGACCTCTCTCAGCTTCAGAAAATGGCAATGGCAGATCTCTCTCTAAACAAAGCTTAAAAAAAAAAAAACAGCCCTGTGATAGGTACGCTTTAGGGTCGCCATAAGTGAGAAACAACTTGAAGGCAAAACAACACACCCAACAAAGCATCCTGGATTTCAAGCTGCAGCAGCAACTATTGCTCCTTCCTCTTCCTCTTTTAAAGCAAGTCTCTAGCCCTAATAGCAGCTGAGGTACTGAGCAAAGTGTACAGTCACAGGTGATGCTTATTTCATGCACCTTCGCTGCACCTCCCATCCTCCATTTGGTTGCATAAAAGAGAGGGTGTGTTGTGTATGCACCAAAAGCAGGAGGACCAGAGGGGGATTGGGGTGGAGAATACATGTGCATGAGGTGGAGGTGGGAAAGTGGTGGCAGCAAATTTAAGCACAGCTGGCTGGTGGCAGATGCTTTGAAAGCAAGTTGGGTGTGTAGGGTTTGGATAGTTCCCCTATGGAGGAGAAGGAGAAGAAGGAGAAGAAATAATTGTTCTTTAACTCAAGCAACTAGGGGACAAGCTGCATGCTCTGCTTTTCTGGGTTCTAAGTGGGAAGGAACTACAGATCAGCGCAGTCTGGAAATGAAGTAGCCCATACGATGATGGCAACAGCTCTTGTTGCAACTGGATTGGAAACATGTTTTGGTCTCCTCGGCCCTAACATGTTCAATCACTTTTCAATCGCTTCTCGGCCTTTTGGCTAAGATCAAGTGCACTTTTCTGAGAAGTGTGTGTGTATGTGTTTGGGTTGATTATGTTGTCCAAGGAGGGTTTATAGTATCAAAGTATTATTTTGGAACTCATTATTATATTCATTTTAACAATGAAGTTGACAGTTTGCTTTTCATGTTACTTTATTTTGTTAATTTTTGGAGGCAGATGGGGAGAATTGACAATTTTCAACCATTTTAGTTGACTTTTAAAATTCATTTCATTGGTCACTAGTAGGTTACTAATGAATAATATAAAGGATTAATTCTATAACCAAATAATATTAATGACTTTCTTTTCAAATTAATGCCAAATGTTAGCTTTAACACTAACATTTCCATGCTACCTCACCTTTTAATTTTCTATTAATGCTGATGCTACTTGCATGACTTGTTAGCTAGCAGTGAAAACTGTTAAGTCTCAGTATCAGCCACCATTCCTTCATAATAAATCTGCAAATACAATAAATGTGACCAATTCTGTAACTCGGACTGCATCCACACTGCAGAAATAATCCAGTTTGACAGCGTTTTCATTTCCAGGTCTCCATGCTGTGGAGTTCTGGGAACTGTAGTTTGTTGTGGCATCAGAGCTCTCTGACAGAGAAGGCTAAATGTCTCAGAAAACTACAGTTCCAAAATTCCATATCATAGATCCATGGCAGTTAAAATGGTGTCAAATGATGCAGCCTCTCTGATGAACAAAAGGTAATCCAGGATCAACTGGTGATCTTCATCTGGTAATTTGCAGCAAATCAATAGATCAGCAGAGGTTTCCAACTCCAAATGGTGCAACAACAGTGACAACAAAACCTCTTTCTCTCCTAAATTATCCAACGGATACCAAGATAATGTGGTAGAAAACAAAATTAGATCTTTCTGTGAGCTCCAATTCTGTAACTTAAAACAAAATCACAAGTTCCAATTCCTGTATTCTACATCTACCCTCTTAAGCCATTATTTTATACCTGGCTCCCATTGGTAGACTTAGAGTTGTAATTCTAAAAAATAACAGGAAGGTAGACACCACCCACCTAAATCTGAATGCCTGCCTCCACAGTCAGTGGCATCACTGCGGTTGGTGTCACCTGGTGCTGTAATTCAGAGGTGTGACCCCCAGTTAGAATGAAACCTGGTGCAGTGTACATCCCCTGCACCTACCTCCCTGGTGCTCCCCTGTCCACAACTGATCCCGATCCTGAATTTCAGGGGTCAAAACTGATCTCTTAGTGGGAGAGATTTTTAAACAAATATTTAAATGATGATCTTCATCCTTCTACTGAAGAACGTGGCATCTGTTGTACAACTATAAATAATTATTAGAACTTGGAAAAGTTAATTTTTGGATTACAGCCCTAGAATCAATTCCCCAGCCAAGTTCATGGGAGTTGTACTTCAAAAAGAGCTTTTCAGATCATTATGGTAGAACTTCTGCATTTTATTTGGTTCCCCACCAATGTACTTCTGAACAGCTTTTACTTTTTAGGATTTCTGCAGAATGCTTTACATCTCTTGGTGTCTGCAGGTTTCTCTGTCAGCAGGGGAGCCAAAACTGTGCCACTGACATAATGGAAACAGATCTGGACTGTGTGGGAAGAGCACACATCCTATGGTTATGCCCCATTCCAGACCTGTAACTACTTACCTGGGAATGAGACCCTCTTGAATTCAGTGGGATTTATTCCTTATAGGATTATATCTTAACCTGCTTCTTTGAGGTTTCACATTAACACAGAGAGAAACTGTTCTGGATCTGTTGTGATCTGTTTGTTTTTTTTATGTTACCTTGGTGATATAGGAAGGAGTGGTATTTCAGCATCTCCTTGATCTGCCTTTTCATTCCTCTCCCACCTCTGTTTTCTTGTTGCGCACACAAAAGAGCCATAGCAATTGCATTTGAACGCCACTCAATAACTGCAGTAAGAACCAGGAAACACATCATAAGAAAGGACTCTTATAGTAAAAACTCTGAAATATGGAGTATAAAATTATTTCTTTAAATTTCTCAAGCTTGTAGATAACTCTGTTTCTTACTGGGGAATTGAGGGTAACTCACCTTTTTATAAGGTATGAAAATATTTCCTGTATCATGTTTATGGAATAATAATAGCTGCTATGTATTCATAATATTACTTAACTTGCAAATACAAGTTTCATACTTTAGTCCAGAAATATATGTGTTGTTCATTATTAAGTCAAGCCAAAATATAGGAGGGCACACTAGACCATACCTAATATCAGGTTATTGTGTTTTTGCAGCCTTGGTTAGATACAGCATTAATACAATTTTTGGTCACATTTCTTAATCATAATAGCATAAGCTAGATGTGATGGTATGATGGTGATGGTTAGAAGATGATGATAATGCCATCATTAGGTAAGCAAAACTTAATTTAGGTTGACAAACTGTGACCTTATTTTGATTCCAGGGTACATATTCCTTCTTTGTTAATCATCTGAAGAACTCGCTACAGAATCATGAGCTGGCCATGCTGCTTGCTCTGTTCCCCAGGTCACACAACTTCTGTGGGACATCCCAGCGTCTACACATACAGATTTCATTCTGACCAGATACTTGTGCTCAGTGTGCAGATGTGGGTGGGAAGGAAGGCTCAAATAACCTGTGTAGCCTTAGGGATGAGTCCAACAGCATGGCCTTACTGTTCCATGATTGTGTGGAAATTCCTTCGCACCATCACCATTACCATGCTGGCCATTCTTGTTGGGGGATTCTGAACCAAAAATTTAACATTTCTAGGTGCTAGCCATTACCAGGAAGAAGAGGATTTTTAAAACAAACAAACAAAAAATGGTGCCAACACAGCAACTAACTTGGGGCAGGAAACATCTGTTAATTTGTATTTTTATGGCTTCTTTGAGAAATGTTTGGATCAGGGGTAGGCAACCTAAGGCCCGGGGGCCGGATGCGGCCCCCCGGGGCCTTGGACCGGCCCCGGGCTGGTTCTTCCACCGCTGCCACCCCCCCCCCCACCACAATGACATTGATTATTGTTGTTGTTACTTGTTCTTGGGGTTTTCTTGGCAAAATCTCCACGTGAGTTTTGCCATGGCTTTTCTGGGGCTGAGAGAGTGTGCGTGTATATATTTTTTATTTTTAAAAATATTTATTTATTTATTTATTTATTTATTTATTTATTTATTTTTGGTGCTTCGGCCTCCCAATTGTCTGAGGGACAGCAACCCGGCCTCCGGCTCAAAAAGGTTGCCTACCCCTGGTTTGGATCATCAGAGAAGTCTTTTCCCCTCCTTTTCTCTCTTTAATGAAAACATTTGCTGTACACCTTTTAGCTCAGCCCCTAGTTATTAATTTCTGCATACAATTATTTTAAGATTGTTGCCCTTGTAGCATTTTATGAGTGTTCAGTACATTCAATAACAAATAGCATGTTAGACTGTGTATCAGTATTCTTGGTTCCATATTGCTCATGCAGCGGGGGTCTGAAAACAGCTATAGATTCCATGGCTGAAGTGATTTACAGTGCACCATACCAGCTACACTATTTTAAAATGCATTCTACATTTATAACACGCACTCTAAGCGATCATAGAAAATTGAGCTGCCACATGATTGAGCTTCATTATTGATATATTTTTCAAAAATCCTTGAATAGGTAAAAATACGAAACATTTTTTGTAATAACATA